TGTCAGATATCATCTATACTTGTCCCATCTATGCCTCGTCCACACTGTGCCTCGACCCCACTGTGCTACCGTTTTTTATTACTGTTGTTCTAAAATTGATTTGTAGATCACTGAGAATGTTTTCTGAAAGCAAAACAAAAACATGAAAATGCATGAACTTACAAGCTTTGGTTTTAAATATTTAAAAATATATGTAGTCGTCTACAATGGCGTGCCCAGGAATTTTAAATGGGGAGGGATGTCATAACTAATAGGTATTAATACAACTAAATACATTTAAGGGGGGTGAAAGAATTAGAAAAAGATTAATAAGGGGGCTTTAGAGGTGAAGTCTCATTAAAATATTTATTAATATTTTGTGTTTTGTATGATATGATGTAGTGTTGCTATACGAATATAGAATGCAATAATTACAACTTTATTCAATTCTTGCTGTTAGGTACTCGATGCTAGAAAAAAAACCCCTGGGCACGCCACTGGTCGTCTAAGAGAGCAATAATTATTTTAAAAATTTCAAAAACAATATGACAACTCTATCAAAAGTTATAATCGTTATCAGTTATATTTGAGGCACTATATATAATATAATAAAACTCAAATTATATTTGTTTATTTAGTTTAATATATCAAACTTGTTTGCAATTATCTAACTTCATTCTGTAAGATATTATTTTTATTATTTTTTTAACTGGTACTAGTAAAAAGATAGAAAAGTATAGTGCAACAACTCTTAGTTTTTTTGTCTTACAGCATTTAGTGTTAATGATACATTTTATGTAAATTTAATAAATATTTTATTTTTTTAGTCTATTGGAGAAAATGATAGTCAACAAACATACAAAACAAGAAGAAGAGGCGGTGGTCAAAAACCATTAGCGGAGCAAAACACTTGAACAGTAAAGAATTCATAGTGCAATGTTTTATATACATTTTAAGTTTCTTATAGTTTACTGCTAACTTAAAATTTGTGTATTGTTTAAGTTTTCAACTACTTACAAGTAGAACTTTCTTTTGTGTATATTAATATAATATATTAAATTTTTGAATTTTTAACTTCAAGTTATGAGTTTGTTCATCTTTATAAATATCTAAACAAATTATATTTAAATATGTATTATAAATTATAAATTTTATTTCATGACTTAAATTTTGTTCACTAATATGTTTTTATGTACTACTAATATCATTTTTGAGTATAGTGATTCTTGCGATATTTTGTTAAAGTATAATGTTTAAATTTATTATTTAAAATTATAACAACTTTTTATTTCACAAATTATCGAAGATAATTTTATTTATTAAAAATTGTTTTAATCTATTTGATTTAAGCAATGGTGATAATATTTTTAACAATATTTAATAATTAGTTAGGTATGGTATCAATTATACAATTTTTATTAATTACAAATTATAATTTATACAATTATAAAATTTTGGACTTAAGCTAAAATAAAATTTTAGTATAATAATTTTAGCAGTCTAGCCCGCACCAAAAAAATTATTATATCGATCATAAAAAGAAATGATGAATAAAAATAAGGTGAAAAATAATTTTTACAAACTAATTAATGCTAATTATAGTGTATTTCATTGCTTTATAGACATCGGTCTACCATGGTCTCAACACTAAGGCTCAAACCACTTCAATGCGAAATCCAGTCTGCGCTAATAGTCCGGCTATCGAGGCGCCTTCCGCTACCACCATCATGTCATCCACATTGCAAAAAACAAGCACGTGTGAAATACAGCGTTATAACTGATCTTCCGTAGCAGAGGCCCAAGAACCGATCTCTGAGGAACCCCTCCCGTTTCGGTTTTAGTTTTCAAACCCCCTGCTCTCGCATACGCGATAACCTGGTCGTTGAAGTAAAACTGGACCGTTTCATCGATATACAACTATAGAATCCTAAGGCATGACAAATAAACATATACCGTGGACAAGAAACATGTGAACAAATGTAAAACATGGCACATAAGCGTTTAGAAAAAAAGAGACCATTTAAGTAAGTTATGAGAATTAGACTGAATACCAAACATATAATACGAAACCATTTTAAAATTAGAATGTATAAATTTATAAAAAAGGTCAATTACTCACAGAAGATAAGCGTTGGAATAAAAAAATCTTAAATTTAATTTACTTTTGAATAATATAGGTATTCTATTCCTATGCGAGATACTTCAAAATCGGACATTTATATTTAAAATTGTATGAATTTTGATTATATATATNTAAAATTAGAATGTATAAATTTATAAAAAAGGTCAATTACTCACAGAAGATAAGCGTTGGAATAAAAAAATCTTAAATTTAATTTACTTTTGAATAATATAGGTATTCTATTCCTATGCGAGATACTTCAAAATCGGACATTTATATTTAAAATTGTATGAATTTTGATTATATATATATATATTTTAAATATATATATATATATATAAAATTTCGAATTTAGGATTCATGCATAAAACATATACCTAAAAAATATTTCTAAATTTTAGAGAATAGTAGTCATTATATTATACAAATGGTTAAATAAATATTAAACTTTTCATATTATAGGTTTATTGTTTTAATAACAGTAATCTATAATTGTATGTAAATATAGAAAGAATATGAGGTATCGTCTTGTTTAGTAAAACTTAATAATTTAGTATAACTACATAGGTATAACTGAATTTTTCAAGAATGTTTACTAAAAGATAAGATAATAATTTATCTTGAGTTTGAAATTCTTTGCTTTGTATGTGCGCTAAACACAGCTTAAAGGATTAGTAAACATTAGAAGTATATTAATAATTAGTTATCCGCCAACTCTCGCTTATTTTCTCAAATGTAAGAATATTTTTTTTAGTTCAATTAATTATTAAATAATTAAAATGTTAGCAATCAAACTGATGATATTTTTAATAACTGGATTTTTAACATATGTTGTGAAAAGTGATGTGTCGTTGTGTGATATTTGCCAGTGTACAGACAATTTGTTAAATTGCACGGAGAAAGTTTCAACTGGAATTTTGAACCTAACGAATTATGAAAATGCATTGTTAAATATTGAAATAATGCATTTTGATTTTAATAAAATCGTTCGCGTAAAATCGTTTCCATCGTCAAAAGTGAATTATTTATCACTCCAGCATAATGACATTTCTGAAATTGATGACTATGCATTTGAAAATTTACTATCTCTGACTAATCTTGATTTAAGTTATAACTCTTTGACATCAGAGATTCTTAATTCAAATAGTTTTAAGGTATGTAGATCAAAATTTATATAAAAGTAAATTTAACCTAATTAACAAATAATATTGTATTATTGGGTACAGATCAATCATAAAGATGATGCTAATTTCCACGCTTCTTTAACGCATTTAAAGTTAGATTACAACAGTCTTAATTCTCTTCAAGCTAATACATTCAAACATCTTCGTAGATTACAATCTTTGTCTCTCGCAGGAAATCCATTTAGAGTTATTGATCGATTGACTAGTTCTGCATTATCATCGCTTCCATCTTTAAAAGTACGAACGATAATTTTTACTTATTAACATTATGCATTATAATAACTCAATTATTGTAATTAATTTCTAGCATTTGGATTTATCAAGCACAATGTTGAAAAGTCTCCCTGAACACTTTTTAGATATTCCACGGTTACTAATGTCATTGAATTTATCAAAAAATGATTTTAAACAAGTTCCGCCAGAATTAGCAGAAGCTCACAAGTTGAATAGACTGGATTTAAGCTATAACCCCATTAAAAACATCTCGTTAGTAAATTGTCAGATATTTTTGAAAAAATAATTAAATGATAATAACACTTAAAACTGATTTATAAATGAAGTTTTCATAAGAAAAAAACATAAAAGAATAGTTATAATATAATTTTAGGTTAATAAAAAATTAATCAATTGCTTGCTTAATTTTTATATTGTTACGGAAAAGTATTTATTTGAAACATGCTATTGACACGTATTGTTTAATCGCCTTTTTTAGCAATAATAAATTTTAAAACGATAGAGGCTGTGGAATGACTCATTGAAAATATTTTTCAATATTTATATTGATAAAAGTTTTATATAATTTGTTTATAATTTCGAGCAGTTCAAATTAATTTTTTTCTAACATAAACTGTAAAAACTGAAGTTATAAGCAAAAATAGTAGTTAAGTGTATTTTAAATAATATACAAAAAACCTTTTAGTGAAAAATTAGCTTAAAGTAGACATAACTAGATCAAAATTTATGGAGGTGATAAATATATGTACATTGTACACTTAATTAATTCGTTTAGGTGAAGTACCAACATTTCCTTTTTCTAGCATCATATATACTAGAATTCTCGACGTTCAATATTAATTTTTGATTTATATTAAACTATCGTTAAATAGTTAAATAGGACCAACATAGGGCGGTGGTTAAACTTTTGACAGTTAAATATTGTATAGATATCATCACTTAATTATTATGAGCATGTATTCTGTGTTTTTTAACAATATTTATTTAACAATATGTTGTAGATTGATGCGACATAAAGATAAAGTTTAACCACCGACCAAGTTTGCCTATTTAACGGTATTTCAAAGTATGTTTTTTGCATGTTACTTATATAATACTGATTCAATATTTACAAATCAAAAATCAATTAATGTATTTGATTATTGGATATAGCCAACAGAGTTCAATTCGGAAAGCATTGTGTTTCGGTATGTAGGTACCGAGACACAACTGTAGGTGGTTCGATTCTGCATTACGGATTTTCTATACAGATTTTCGCGTTCTCTCTGATACAAGCAATAGCTTTTCAGAGAGGATGTTAAACAAGAATAGATAAATTTATGACAATGATAACTAATATATTCTATGAATTTCGTTTATTGTAGTTTATTAGTATCACTGGATGTTGAAGAAATTTTTATTTTTTCATATCTTAAAGTTATAATTTGTATAACAATAAAATAAAAATGTATAACATTAATAGGTTTGTATATCTATTAGGTGGTGCTAAAAGACTCATAATATTCTATAGTTGCTCCTATGTAGAATTAAGGTATAGGATAAGAAATATAGAGCCGTAATCGCTTAGAATTTCCGGTGGCGGGTCCAGGGAATGAGTGTACTCCATGAAATTTTGTGCTCACCCCATGAAATAATTCTGGATCCATCCTGAGATACTCTTCATTTTTGTACTCGTTAGTTATATACAGGAAGTGTTTCCAAGTATTAGGTTTAGAAAACATATATTTTTTCTATTAATTTACATTTCATTAGTTTATGTTGAAATTTTAACAGACTAATTTAATATAAATATACCACTTTATTATCTCATGATATAATATAAAAGTTAATTTGATTTTTTAAAGGATTAAGTCCTTTATTCTCGCTAATTAATATAATTTGTTTATTATTGCAAAGAAACTTTCCAAAAATACCTTGGTTGAAGATACTTCATTTATCACACATGCCAGAACTGTTGACAATCGAAGAACGAGCTTTTAGTTTGCTTTCAAATTTAGAAGAGTTTCACTGTTCATATAATATTAAATTATTTTCTATAGCTCCTAATGCATTTCAATACGAACCAAATGATGATTCAGAAGGAGTGAAATGGCCGCAAATCGTTAAAGTAATTATTTTTAATTGTTTAAAGTCTGTAAAATCTTATTAATGTAGACTAATTATTGATTATCTTTATATGGATATAATAAGTTAAATATAACTACATATTAAATATAATTATTGGATAAATTTTTAAATGATTTAACAGATTTATGATGTTTAATTCCAGTTAAATTTGAATAACAATGCTCTAGGATATTTAGACAGTAATTTGTTAAGTAGATGGGACACCTTGATTGAGCTTAACTTACAAGGCAACAAATGGATATGTGATTGTGAAAATCAATGGCTTGTTTCAACGTTAGCTCCTATGATTGAATCAAAACATCCTGAATTACTCAAAGATTTCACGTAAAATGATATAATTAAACATTTATTGAATATGTATTAAAAATATGACTAACTTAATTTTTGGGGTATAAAAAAACCAAATATACCAAAATTAGATTTATTAAATTGATTTTTTAATTAAATACATTACTAATACGTTATTAATAAAAATAAAAATTTTTAGTTAAACATCGAACTAAATAATGAGACTTTTACTCTAAAAATATTCAATGGATTTTATTGATATTTTAGCATGAGGTTAAATAGCCACACTATTTTAAGGCATTATAATTTGACAAATAAAAATTTATAGAACTATTAAAAGATTTTTTTTTAGTTTAAATACACAGGTCAAAAAATAGTAGTTTTTTTTGAGTTAATTTTTAAAAAATAATTTTCTGTTCCCAGAGGTCCATAAAACATTAAAATTACAATTATTTTTTGTAAAAGATTGATTTTGTATTTTTTAAATAATTTAATAAATTTATTTATAATTATTTTTATGCATTATTATTTTATGCTATATTATAGCATACAATATATTATATATGTGATAATATATAAATTATTAAATGGTTGATCGTGGTTTAGTGAATTTAAACATTTGTTATTAAATTTAATATAATGAAGGAAATTTTTTATTATTTATTTGAAACTAGTGCGACGAATTCGACAAAATAATAATGTAGGTTTTTTGTATTTTTTACAGAATATATATATATATGTGATCATTATTTAGAACTATAAAAAATATTTTTTAATGTTTCTCAAATAAAATCTTGCAAAAATCTATAATTTTATTATTATATCCAACAAACCAAACTTTTTCAAGTAAAATTTTTTTCCCGTCATTAGTGATGTACAAGTTAATAAAAGTTATGGAAGTATTAAGAAAAAAATGACAAAATTTACCGATTTTTAAATTTGTAATTTTTTTGGATATCTCCCCCATTTGCGGGGAACGAGGGAAAATTTTTCAATTTTTAAGGGTAATGTCTTCAACTAGATACGATTTGTGATCTTTTGACGTATCGTTGAAAGAAATCGGTCCAGTGAGAGCTGAGAAAAAGTGGCAACAGACATAAAAAAAAAAACGCATCATAGTAAAATTAATACCTTCTCAGCTTCGCATCGAAGCTAAAATTCAGTATTTAAAACTCGGATCTAAAATTTGTGTTGACCAGTGTATTGAAATGAACAATTTATAGTTATGTTAAGTATGAAATAATTAAAATAATTTTAAATGTCCATAAATGTTTTTGTCATATTTTGTTTAAATCGTTTTAAACCGAATTTAAAATGTTGTATTTTTGTTCTTGTATGAAAGAAAAATAGTTTTTATTTTTAAGCTCTGCAGTATAATTTATTATATTAAAATAATTATCACATATTTAAAGTATCCCTCTGATATATACACTGGCGTAATCATAAAGGGGAAATTGGAGTCATATCCATCCAATGTCAAAAATAATTAAATGGCAATGATACAATTTTTTTTGTATAGAGGGGGAGGGAGTGAAAAATATTTTTATGAATAACCCCCTCAAGACGTAACTCTAATTACGCCACTGGATATAGTAAGCACAATTAAACATGCAATAAAAATTTGTAACAATTTTTACTTTGGTAAACAGTTATACATAATCATACAGGGTGATTTTTTTATCATAACCCACTCAATTACTTACAGAATAAATATATTTAAACATTTTTTTTTTTTTTTGGTAATCTTTAGTTACACATTATTCTTGAATTATTAACTATGTAATACTTTTTAAGTTTATCTCTTATGCCTTGTTAGGGGTCAACTTTGTTTTTTAAAATGGAAACACATATTTTTAATTTAATAAAATGTTTGAGTTTTTAATTTACTAGTAAATGGCATTTGAATTTTTAATATAACTTTATTCGTTTATTAGATATAAACATTTAAAGTTTCAAATTTTTGAGTTAATATCCATGTATAATACATTAGGGATTACAAATACAGGAAGCTAAATGGTTTTTAAGATATCGCTGTCACAGTCACGGATTGTTTATTATCAATTATGACTATCAATAGATATACTTTTTATACAGGGTGTTCAGTAAGTCAGTTAGTGTATTTATGAACTCACAACAATGTGCCTTACTACCATTGATAATAACAATGCTGTGTACCTGCGAATATTGATGTCATATTATAGTTAATAATTCAAGAATAATGTGTAACTAAAGATAATGAAAAAAAAATAATGTTTAAATATATTTATTCTGTAAGTAATTGAATGGGTTATGATGAAAAAATCACCTTGTATAACACCCATTTACATTATAGAATAAATGAGCTGTTAAGTTTTGAAGACCTTATCTTTATAATGGTAAAGGTTTTTGAACTGAATTATAGATGAATTCGGTTCACATATTATATTTGTTACGTTTGTCACATTACTAATAAATCAGATTTTAAATTTATGTTAATAGTTGTCAAGAGCCAATTGAAATGAGAGGGATATCAATAATTGAACTTGACCATAGGCGTTATCATATGCGATGTTTGGACTCTTATAATAATCGACCAGAAAAGGATGGAGTGTTGCTCGTTGGTATATTGATTGGTGTTATGTTATCCGTACCTTTTACAATGTCAATAATGATATATTGCGCAAAAAATGAAAAGTCTTTAACACATTATCAAAGAATGTCAAATTTTAAAAGTTCTTTACATCGAGATTTCCATTTAAGGTAAAAATATATATATTTTTTATTATAACTATGACTAAGATCTATATCTACTTCTGTGTTATTTACAGAATAAGTAAATTTGATAGCTTACAAAGTTGATAACATATCAGTGATTAAATTTGAGTGCTAGGCTCAAATTAGAGCTCCCGTAAAAATAGAAGGAAAATTAACAATGTCAAATAATAATTATAAAACAGTAATAATTTTTGTAATGAAAATAATGAAGTAAAAGATAAATACAGAAAGATTTGTGAAGTAGGTGGCAGTATATTTCTGAACTATCAGCGTGAAAGATGTCGTTTTGAATTTCTCGGGAGAGTTTAGCTCCCTATTTGCAAGATTTATTCCTTGAAGTGATTTTCAAGTTTTAAGTGAAATCTTGAATAGTAGTGAATAGCTGTTTCTTTAACTGTATTGACTCTTAGATCGTTATGGAGTTGGTTGTTTGAAACACACCAAGGAACTTTAATGATGATACATAATACAATCTTTTGAAATACTTGGATAGTCTTATTATTTGAAACTTTTGCAGAGCCCCATACAAAATGATGTGTGACAAGATTAATTTGTTTGATAGTTGTATATTTGAGTGTAGTAAGAGTCTCAAAATGTGGAGACAGCTGTTTGATAGCCACTTTTTCTCAGCTCTCATCAAATTGATTTCTTTCAACTATGCGTCAAAATATCACAAATCGTATCTAGTTGAAGTAATTGACCTTAAAAATTGAAAAAATTACCCTCGTTCCCTGTAATTGGAAAAAATCCCCCAAAAAATTACAATTTTTAAATTCTATACATATTGACATTTTAGCTACGATGCGAAGCTGAGAAAGTATTGGTTTTACTATGATGTGTTTTTTTTTTTTGTGTCTGCTACCACTTTTTCTCAGCTCTCACCGAACGGAATTTTTTCAACGATACGTCAAAAGATCACAAATCGTATCTAGTCGAAGACATTACCCTTCAAAATTGAAAAAAATTCCCTCGTTCCCATTAAATGGGCGAAACCTCAAACAAAATTACAAATTTAAAAATCGCCTATTTTCGAAATTTTTTCAATTTTTTTTTCTAAAAACTGCCATAACTTTTTTAAAAATGAACATATCAATATAATTTTTTTTATAGATGCTTGATGTCTTTATCATTCATTTGGTATATTTTTTTCATAAATTTAACCCTTTGCCTGCCCACAGGGGAGGATTTAAAATGACAACTTTTTCAACTTAACTTAACTTTTGAAAGTGTTCCGGAAGGTCTGACACTTTTATATATATCTTAAATTAAAGGTAATATAATATACTTTATTATGAAAAAAAAATGTTGACCTCTGGACTTATCTATGTGGTGAAAATAGACATCAAAGTTAATAAAAAAATTACGATTTTTGTAAAATAATTCTTTTTTATATTTTTAACTTAATAATGCTATAACTTTTTGGAAAATGTATGGATCAGTAAATTTTTTTATAGATGCTTGATATCTTTACCTATCATTTGGCATTTTTTTTTTATAAATCTGACCCTTTATTTGCGCACAGAGGGGGATTTAAAATGACAACTTTTTGACAAAAAATTTACTTTTACACTTAACTTTTGAAAGTGTTCCGGAAAGTCTGACACTTTTATATATATCTTAAATTAAAGATAATGTAATGTACTTTGTTACGAAAAAAAAAAATTTTGGACTTTATTTTATTTTCATGGTGAAAATGGCACCAAATGCAATTTTTGTTTGAAAATTCTCGATTTTATTTTTTACATTTTTAATTTTATAATGCTATAACTTATTGAAATGTGTATGGATCAACACAATTTTTTTATGAGAAATAATATTTATATCCCTTTTTCATTTGACATACTTTATCTTAATTAGGATATAAATAAGGAAATAACAGATCATGTAGCTTTTTGAATAATCCACCAATTTTTTAAAATTAAACACTATTTAAAGATTTGCATTAAAGCGTTTCTTAAGATAGTGATTTTAATCGCTGTCAGATTAAATCTATAGTGGACCCAACTATGGTACGTCACCACTGTGCTGGGTTTTTTATTAATTAAATGATTCATGATAATAGAATCACTTATGTTCCTATATATAGGGTTATTGTCTTGACAATTGTCAATGCTTATAGCTTTTAATAGTGACACGATACCGTGTTTCTCTCAGCCGCACATCACGTTATCAACCTAAATGAAAGTGTATCGGGATCTGAATCATAAGTGCACGGTGGCCTAGTGGTAAGGTTTGTCTATACGACGCCTTGGGTCACGGGTTCTAATCCCGTACCGTGCCTCTTTTTTTCACATGATTTCCGGTAACTTTCTATATCCCCGGCGGCCGTGTTAATAGAATTATCAATTGATTAAAATTATTTAAAGTAATGGTTGTCTTCTTAAACAGATATGCATCGAAGCATTTATTTCTTATGATAGTGATTTTTATTATTGTCAGATATCATCTATACTTGTCCTAACTATGCCACGTCCCTACTGTGCTAGTATAGTTTTAATTTTAAATAATATTAGCCACAAGTGATCAATTTTTATTATATGTAGAGTAAAGGTCGTATCTACAGGTTTAGTCAGATTGATTTTATTTTCTAGTTGTTGCATACTCAGATAGTAAATGTGACTGAACCAAGTTTGAGGCAATTATTAGTGGGTTTAAACTAGCAGCTAATATTGATGTGTTACCTGATGTCAATTAAGGTTGTTTGATTTAGGGATGTCTGCTGTATAGATAATATATAAGAAAGAAGCAATGTTGCTACACTGAAGGACGCTAATACAGATATTTTATTTTTTAAGTAAGCGGCTCCCATTAAATCTCGAATGATTTGTTTTCTAGATAGGACTAAAGTAGCAAGTAATAAGATGTTGAAAATATTTTTTGAAGTTAGTGTAGTTAACCAAACGTGCTATACTGTATCGAAGGCTATTGCTATGTCTATTAATAGGCCAGAATTTTCAGTTTCAAGTGCCGTAGTTGACTGTCCGGAGAAGTTGATGGTATGTAGCATATTTAGGTTAAAAACCAAATTGAAAATTCAGTATAGTATTTTACTGTTGAACTATGATTGATATTCTTTTAAATATTATTTTTTCTAAAACTTTTCCCAACAAAGGTAGAAAACTTATTGGTCAGTATGACGTTGAATTATCTGGAAAATTAGTTGGTTTTAAGATAGTGATAATCGTTGAATGTTTCCATATATCTGGGAAGTATGAAAACCGTAGTACTGTATTAAAAATGTAGGTTAGTAGTATAATTGTTTACTTTCAAAATTATTAATTTACTTATTGATTATGTTGTTATGACTTAGTAATTTATTATTTTTAGTCTTTTAATTGTAAAATCAGTTTTTCCCGGAGAAATGTATTTTGCTAAAATGAATGAGTCTTATTTGGATGATAGCTATTAGTGGGTATGCCATGCGAGTATTTCAGCCCTATCTATTTCTATACTAGTAAAACTGTTATCTGAGCGTCGTAGAGGAGGAATTACGGTTGTATGTCTCAGAAAACTTTTTGTTTGTCTCGACAGTAGCCATTTGAAGTAAAAAGTGACTGTAGATATTTATTATATAGCTCAAACTTATGATTTTTAAGTAGATTTTTTAATTTATTGGAGAGATAATTTTATCTCTGTTTATCTTGGGGATAATGAGAGATGTGCTATGTATTTCTTGCACGGTATTTTTAGCAATTAACTTATTTAGTTCAGTAGTTAATTGGTGTTTATCATTTTTTGGATTGTGTTTTAAAAGTAATTTAGCGGCAACATCATGTATATTATTAGATAATAAGTTGATAGTACAGTTGATATCATCTGGCGTTTTCAATTTAATATTCAAATTGGTGTTTTTTGTCATCAAGTTACTAAAGACATTTTAGTTTCGGTGGAATGAAGTTGGTGCACAGTTAACAGTTAGTGATGAGTTTGATTGATCTTGATTTTTTTTTTAATATTAATGGTGAAACAACGTTTTTATAATTAGACTGATCGCTCGAGGAATGAGTGGACGTGTCAATTGATAGCAGGATAGCGGAATTTGACGATAGTACGATAGGCATGATAATAGATGATAGAGGGGTGGGATTTGGCTCGGTGTTGAATTGAGGTAGTAGTGGTAGGCTCACTGTGGCAACCTTGAGTATACGAGACTGCTAGAAAAGGATACACTTGCATTTGGCTTGTGATTTTGACTGTTTTCGGTAAAAATAAAAGTAAATAATATTACTTAGGTAGTCTAGTTTTCCTCAAGAGAATTAACCTTTATCCAAAAAAAGCAAAGAACAGTATTAGGTACAGAAATTTGTTTGGAATATTAACATACAAAACTTAAATTCACGAGTTTGATGCTGAAAAATCAGTTTAATTAATTTAGAATGTACACATATGTTGAGTGTAGGACAGCAAATGTAAAAATATATGTAAATAATTTTATTTAAATGTACTAAATAAAAAAAATATTACATGGCGTAATAAACTACTTTACGTAGATATACATAAATAGCTTTATTCAAGAATTTGTCATTTGTTATTAGAAATATATAAAATACATTTTTGTAATCAAATCTGTTCAAAAAAAATTAGTATAGTTTCCCGTTAAACACAGAGCCGACAAGACAATAAGGCCTCAAGGCAGTTACTAAAGTAGAAACTTTCTTCTTTAATATTTTAATTAAAATAATAAAAAACACTTAAATATTTTCATATTAAACAATTATTATATATTATACAAATAAATAAACGAATTAAACATTTTTGTTTTATTTATTAACATATTTTATTAAATTATAAAACTAATGTTTACTACAATATAACGATAGTGTCATACAAAAGTCTCTATGGCAATTGATAATAAATAATCGAGAGCACTCTCACTTATAGTATAACTGCAAAAAAACATAAAGAGAAAAAAAATAAAAAAAATATTATAAATATCAAAATAAAAATATCAAAATAAAAATATAAAATCATTATATGTTTTTATCTAGATAATTAATAAAATGTTTTTTTTTCAAGAATTTTAATCTTCTCCCTTGATCTTCAAAACTAACACAAATTTTGAGTCAAAATAATTGATATTTTAATTTGTTTTAAACTTGTACCACTTTCAACAAAATTAAGAAAACAGTTTTATTTTTTCTGTACTGTAAAAAATTACTAATATTGAAATGGACAAAATTTTTGTAGAGGCTTATTTATTTACTTACCTCATTTTAAAATAAATTTCTATTTTTGAAATTTTGAGCTAAGCCCCTCTAAACCTTCCAAAATTTACGAAAATAAATATAGTTCTATTTAAGAGGAGGATTTTGCCTTTTTTTATTGTCTTGAAGTTTTAATACCATTAAAGTAGAAAAAAAAATAATGGGAAAAATATTTGATTTTACCTGTAAAATAATACACATGTAATCTAACTAAAATTAATAATAATAAAAGATTTATTATTTATATGTTGTAAGTTATTGAATGAGTTACGATATAAAGGTATTCATATCATTGTAGTAACATTTAGCCTGTTTCCTTACTTTCTGAACATCTGAATAGATCACCAAGTATATAGAGTATTCAATAAGTAAGGAAACAGGTTAATTGTTACTAAAAATGAGAATAATAGAACTCGTTACCTTACTTACTGTATATTATATTAAATTGTAGATGAAGAAAAAAAAATTATATTCTTCAATGATCACACTAAATAAATTTAGGTACTTTCTTGAGTTAACTAAAGAAAGTACCTATTTGTTACTTCTGTTTATGACAACAATCAATTTTCCAAGGCTGACGTGTCAACGACATGGGTACTGTGTTTACTTAAGTACTCATTACTATTAGGTACTTTCCATATACGTCATTAGAGTATTATTAAATATTATAATTTTATGTTACGCCTGTAGTGATATTATTATAGTATAAAAACTTTGGGAATTGACCAACATTATGATTTCACTGTTTAGTCATTTGTTAAAAATTCATGTTAAATGCCTTAATCAAAAACGATATAACGTTTACTAAGTATAAGAGTTCATTTATTCGAATGAACAATAATAATGTTCAAATGTGCACTGATATATAATTATCGTTATAGATATTATATTATATAATCAAAAATCATCCTGAGATATTACACATTATTCTAAACACAGTAGCTTGTACAATTAATAATAACAATAGCATTATAAAATCTTGCAACTTCTGTATTACATAACATATTTAATTACACAATCGAGCTTAAAATAAGATATATTTAATTTATGATCAACTTATTAAAATTAATTTCTTATTCTTATTCTGTATAGTTATTCTAATATAATAAAATGTATATATTTTATATTTTACAGAGAAACTCCAGTATATCGATCAACATCAGTTAATATCAACGGATTCTAAATTACTTTTATGGAAAGAAAACTTTAAATCTAATAATTTTACACTATGATATATTATTTTAAGTATTTATTGAACACTTAAAACTTAATGTAAAATCTTTTGAGAATTGTTATTAATTAATTAGTTTTAAATTGTCTCTTTCAGTAAAATTTCATATAAATTTTAATAACATTTTTTAATAATCACTAATATATTAATAAAAAAGTTCTTTAATTTTTACAAAAAATTAACTTATAAAATTAAAATAATACACCATCGAACTTTTTAGCACATAATAGTCTAAATAGCATATTTGAAATTTGTATAAAAAATGTACTAAGATTAAAAACTTTCACTTTTGTTATGAAATGCTTGTAGACCGATGCATTCATGAATGAAACATTAAGAGTTTATAAAACTGGTTTACCTTCCTCCTTTATTTCTTTTTGTGATTATAATTGTAACGTTCAATTTTATTTACGTACTAAATCATAATCAAATATAAATAGTAATTTTCATACTTCAAAGGTAGCATCAAGATATGAGTGTTGCACAAACATATTGCTCTAAGGCCTGGTTAATTGATTTGATTCTGCTCTAGGCGGCAAAATGCCTGGAATCAAGATGTACAATTATTGAGTTTAGATACGATTATTCTTAGTTATGTTCATTGTATTCTTAATAAAAAAAAAATGTAATTTTATTCTATGTATAACTTAATTATTATTCAATTTGTTAAACAAAAATTGAATTTTTGGGTCAATATACTGAATATTAACAAACAACTATTAAATTCAAAACTTTAAGATGATTGTATGACAATATACTGATTAAAACATTAAATAAAACGTTTCAATGTGAAAAGTGGTGTTAATATAGAGAGAGTTAAGAGGGTATAGCATTATATTAGTAAATTATTATTATTTACAGTGTGTGACTATAGTGATAGTAAAAATAAGTGTAAAGTTTATAAAAAATTTCCTTAGCTTCTTCCACTGACAGTTACGCCACAGAATGTAAATGTGCAAAAATAAAATTGTGTCGTCGAATTTATAGAGGAATAAAGTTATTTATTTCTCCGAGTAGTACTTTGAGACTTTCTGTATAGAGTCAATACTTTTTTAAAAAAATAACGTAGAAAATATTTTGTTTTTTATATTTATATTTTTTAACTTCAATGATTAAATAAAATGATGATTAAAAAAAAGTTAATATATTTTAATTTAATATATATTTAAAAAGTGATTACAAAAACCCTGTATTTAGTGTATCGGTCAGACTTGAAATACAAGTGTATCACAAGAAAGGTAACTGCCTCTAATATTACTATATTAAAATTCATTCAATTAATTGAATTCAATTAAATGTAGGAAACATTTTTTTATTTTTGAGGATTTTGTCTACAAACTAGTTCTATTGGTTTTTAATTGAATAATATAAATCCAATAGAAGTTGCGTGAACGAAGGGATGGATTAAAAAAAAAATCATAACATAGAAAAATAATACTGTCTCAGCTTTTATATATTATACATACAGTATATATATGTTTAAGTATGGAGTATTCAATGGTATAAGGTTATCAGTGTAAATTTAAATAGATTTCATTACATAAAAAGCCTTTTTTGCAATAAGTGGGATCTAATGATTTCTTAGGAAAATGTATGATAATTTATTTTTTATTAGCCATCAAGAAAACATAATTTTAATGTAAATAAAGTCAATCGTAGATTTTAACTTATGATTTTTATTGATAAAAATATTTTAATGTTTTTAATATTAACTGATTTCAAATTTCAGAAAATTTAATGAACATTTTTTTTCAAATTTTATAGCAACGTTTTTACTTTAGCTTTGATGCGAAATTGAGAAGTTATTAACTTTTCTATGATGTTTTTTTAGTATCCCATGAAATTTTTTTCAGCTTAAAATATTTATTTTATTATTATAGAAGTATATTGTACGATTACCAGATTAAGAACGCGTGCTTTTTGCACTTTTTTGTCTTTTAACTAAATTATTAAAAATGTTCCGGAAAAATTGAAATTAAAAATTTGTTAAATTCAATTTTATATTATTTACTATAAGATAAAAAAAATCTTGTCTCGATACCTTTCTTCTATATGTAAATGTCTCTTGTAATTAAAAAAAAATTTGGCGTATAAATCATCGTTATTCGTGTTGATATAAATTTTTATTTCAAATTTTTTTTTAATTATTTTTTCTATATTCTATATAAGGTCACTTTAACCACTCAATTTTCATAAAAATATTAATTATGTTAAAAAAATATACAGGATGGCCCACCACTCACTGACAACTTAAATAACTTTTGATCCAGTTAATATTTTTAGTTGATTTTTTTTTAAAATAATAGTTAGACGTTAGGTCTATAGCTATATTTCAATAATTAATTTTTTTACATTTTATTAAAAATATTAATTATTTTAAAATTTTAAATAAAAAGTAAAAAAAAAATCTAAGATAGCTATTTTGTAGAGTAGAATTTAAGAAAAATTTTAGTAAAAAAATATCTTATTAATATTCAGTAGTAAATATTCTGTAGCGTTTTGAAGTTTGTGAAATTTTGAATTTTCATGTACTATTTTACGGTATTAAACATTGAAATACGTATTGAGAAAAGGACAGAAGAAAACGCTATCTTTTCAATATACTTTTGAATGAGAGTGATAAGTAATAATTGCCTTATCTAATTTCTTATCATGGTATTTATGCCAAGTTTGTAATGTATACACACTATCATCATATGTATACACAGTAATCATGAAAAGATAGCGTTTTCTTCTGTCCTTTTCTCAATACGTATTTCAATGTTTATAACCGTAAAATAGTACATGAAAATTCAAAATTTCACAAACTTCAAAACGCTACAGAATATTTACTACTGAATATTAATAAGATATTTTTTTACTAAAATTTTTCTTAAATTCTACTCTACAAAATAGCTATCTTAGATTTTTTTTTTACATTTTATTTAAAATTTAAAAATAATTAATATTTTTAATAAAATGTAAAAAAATTAATTATTGAGATATAGCTATAGACCTAACGTATAACTATTATTTAAAAAAAAAATCAACTAAAAATATTAACTGGATCAAAAGTTATTTAAGTTGTCAGTGAGTGGTGGGCCACCCTGTATTTTGGTATTTTTCTTGATTCATCAATTATTAAGTATTTTTTTATATCGTCCCATATAAGCATATCCACTTAATTTTTTTTAATGACAATATACATATTTAGCAAAATTATAAAACAAAAACTGATTTAATTAAGAAAATACTGATTGAAAATAACTTTTGATCCATTATTTTTGAAGTTATAACTATTTTAAAATATAGAGTGGATAAGAGAAATGGCTAATGTTATTTTTATCATTAAGCATTACTCTGCCACCCTCGTCATCCACTCTTTATATAAAAATGTTAATAACTTCTGAAGTACTATTTCAAAATTATCGTCTAGTCATTTTCATAATTTGATCATTTTTTAATTTATAAGCTAGTTTAATATGTATACGATAAAAATGTATTTAAATATGTATTACCATAAAAAAAAATATTGATGCCTTTATAAGGTATGAGGAAAAATTAAAAAAATATTTTAATAATTATTATAAATCATAAAATATATAAAATTAAAAAATATTAAAAAAAAAAAAAATTTCTTAATATAATTATTATTTTAAGAGAAATCAGAGTGATTAATATTTAAAAAATCATCTTGTACACAATTACTATTTATAATTTCTTCGTAAAAATTACTATATTAAATTATTAAATATCAATTATCTGCGAAATTTAATTCACTTCTAATCTTCTTAAAATACGACATCATATTTCACAAAACTGTTTACTTATATATGTAATTCTAAAAACTAAAAATTATCTATTAGTATAATTACACCTAATTTCATGCCAATTAATTATCATAGAGGGGCCGTTTTAATTATGGGGATATTATTGGAGGAGGTCATAGTTTTAATTTACTTTCCATTGTACGATTTAATGTTAATCAGTAAATCGTCTTTTGTTGTACGTACGCATTGACTTAAATGTTCGTCAAATGATAAAAATGATTGAATGTTGTAGTAAACTCTTACATGTTAAATTAAATTGAATCTTTTGGAATTTTTTCAAACTCCGAGCATAAAATATTCGAATGAAGTTCAAATTTGATATTAATTACTAAATACGTAAAAGTGATTTCGATTTCTAATTAAATGAATCAGAATTTTAATGGAAATGAATTTTAACAAAGTGTGGTCTTTTATTAGATTCAAACAAATGTCAAATTAAGATAAGTTTCGAAAAATATTTTATATCTTGAAAGAGTTGTAAAGTTTTATTTTTACTCTAATTAAAATTTAATAATTTATTTGTTATAGGATCTTTTTCCACTTGTAAGCGTTGGATTGCGCATATTTTATGATTAGAAGTATTGTTGAGCAGGCTAATTAAGTAGGAAATGATAATTTAAGAGAAAAAAGTAAAAATAGAAAAATACTATTTTTTAACATATAATTAAAAGTGTAATAACTTCTCAACTCACTTTAAAACTGAAATAATTATTCATTAAGTATAGACGTTTAGAATACCAATAAATTACATTTTAACGTTAATGAAATTAGTTTCTAGTTTTCATACATTCCACAAATTATGTTTGATGTTAATTCTTCTTAAAGAGGGGCGAAACAATAACTTAGGATTAATAGTTTGAATTTATCTAGTGAACTCATTCTTAAACGTGTATGTCAAACTATAATAGTCCTTATTATTTTCTACTGTTAATGATTTATTAATTGGTAAAAAAATTCTCTTTTTTTGCATTTAAACCTGAAATGCTATAAATTTTTAATATTATGCGAGAGTGAATGTAGAATTTTTATCAAAAAAATTTCTTTGGAAATTCTTTGAAATTATGTATTTAAATTTTTTTTATATAATCATGTTGATTTATTATTTATTTTCAAATTCTAAAGCCACAAGAGTCCATGTTATTCAAAAAAATTATGATTTTGTTGTGGTTGGTGCTGGAAGTGCTGGAGCAGTCGTAGCTAGTAGACTAACTGAGGTACTATCCTTAAATTAATGACATAGTGCTTTCGTAGAAAATTTTTACTTTTTAACTTGCAATTTAAAAATAATTAAAATTTAGATTAGTGATTGGAACGTTTTGTTAATTGAAGCTGGACAAGATACAAATTATCTAATGGACTTACCGGCATTAGCGGGTGTACTTCAGACAATGCCTATCAATTGGAAGTATAAAACTGTACCAATGAATAATTCGTGTTTAGGTAAAAAATTTATACATATATATTATTAGTTAAGTCAATATTTTTGAAATAAAATTTTTTAATTTTTAACCATAGCATTCAATGAAAAACGATGTAAGTTTCCAAGAGGAAAAGTAATGGGCGGCTGCAGTACTTTAAACTACATGATTTATACTAGAGGTAATTGGAGAGATTACGATAATTGGTCAAAAATGGGTAATCTTGGTAAGAATTTTTTATTTATTTTTTTAACTATATTATAATTGCAATTTTACTTAAAGGTTGGAATTACAATGATGTACTCAAATATTTTATTAAATCTGAAAATGCTGAACTTCCGCAGTTTGATACAAAATATCATGGTATAAATGGACCATTAACAGTCAGTACTGTACCTTTTAGGACTCCTATCAGTAATGCATTTGTAGAAGCTAGCAGAGATATAGGACTTCCTATTATAGATTACAACGGTAAACATCAAATTGGGGTCAATTATTTTCAGGTAATTTAGAAAATACATTTAGTAGTAGATGATACTAGCTGAATGACAAAAGAGCTATTTTTCACATTTCAAGAATAAAATTATTAATTTTTCGTATCATAAAAATAAAATCTCAAATTAAAACATTACGAGGTTCAAAATTAATTAATTGAGATATATGTATCAGTGATACATTGTATCACATACATTATTTTATGCGATAGTTTAACAAACAATTTCGATGTCCCTAAATCTTGAATTTTGGGAGACCAAACCTCCTAGTCTCTTAACGTTTTGTGTCGCGCGCGGTATTAAACCATATAGTGGGGTAATTATTTTCCGTTGAAATAAAAATACTTTTGTTTTTACATTATAGAACATCAACTTTCAAAAGAGTTTGATGTTTTTACTTTACACCTATAAATCATTTAATAATGTGTCGTGTTTAGGAGTGGTCTAAATATATAGAAGTCCAGAAAAATTTCGTTTAGGGCTAGTATTTTTATTTTTAAATTATCGATTGTTTGCGGTAGAGATCGTTATTAATACTCTATAAGATAAAATGGTGAATATATCAGAAAAAATTTAGCTCATGATTGCAAAAAAAATTTAATTGCCTCTGATTTTTTGGAGTCGTCAAAATACTCCATTTATTAGGCTCATATGGAGATGCAGGGAAAAAACGATGGTAGTCCATTTTTTTCGATTTATATTTTATGGTTTGATTTAATGGTTTAATAGCAGTTCAAGTAATAATTACTATTTGATGAAAAGTATTTTCATTTTGCTGACATTAAAGCGTCTACTTTTGTTTAATTATTTAAGAGATAAGAAAATATAGCTTTATATTTTCTCTCCTAAAAAATTTATAGAAATAGAGTCCTGAAATTTTTTTCTGTATTCTTCATATATTTTGTTAAAAATAACTAGTCATCTGATAGTAATCAAAAACATTTCTAATGTAATTTTTAAGTGAACATAACCTTATGTAGCCTTGCAAAAAAAAAATACCATTAGGTAATTTATAGGTTTTTAATCATTTAAGTTGACGTACTAAATTAAAAATAATAAATTTAATAATTACAGGTAACAATGAAAAAAGGTCATCGTTGTAGTACAAATAAAGCTTTTATAAATCCAGCAATTAATAGACCAAACTTAACAATAAAAAAAAATAGCTTAGTTACAAAAATATTATTTGATCAAAAAGAAAAAAAGGCAATTGGAGTTGAATTCCAAACGGGTCTTACAAAATATCAAGTTTTTGTAAAAAAAGAAGTGATTGTTTCTGGAGGCGCCATAAATTCTCCTCAACTACTTATGTTGTCAGGGATAGGTCCAAAAAAACATTTAGAAGAAATAAATATTCCTTTAGTAAAAGATTTACCAGTTGGTGAAAATCTTATGGACCATGTAGCTCTGGGCAGTTTAACCGTTTTGGTTAATGATACTATATCATTAAAATCTGGTAAGCTAATAAGAGATCCAAAAAATTTATATAATTATGTAACAAACCATGATGGGCCTTTGACAGTTCCTGGAGGAACAGAAGCTTTAGTATTTTTTGATACACTTCATCCAAATGATCCAAATGGTTACCCTGATTTAGAATTGTTATTAGTATCTGGTCTATACTCATCAGATGATTTAGTACATACTTTATTTGGATTGAAAAAGGATATATATGATAAAGTTTATAAACCAACACATAATAAAGATGGATTTGTTGTTTTACCAATGATATTACGACCCAAAAGTAAAGGACGTTTATGGTTAAATGATTCAAATCCCTTGCATTATCCACTAATAGATCCTAATTACTTCTCCGATGAGACTGATTTAGATGTAGCTGTTGCTGGAGTCAGAATAGTTCAGAAAATGTTGAAAACTGAACCAATGAAAAAATTAGGTGCTAGATTATTACATACACCAATTCCTGGATGTACTCAATATCACTTTGATACTGATAAATATTGGAAATGTTCTGCAAAACAAATAAGTTTTACAATTTATCATTTATCTGGTACTTGTAAAATGGGACCTCATACAGATGTTACAGCTGTGGTTAGTCCAAGACTCGTAGTCCATGGTATTAAAAATCTAAGAGTAATTGATGCATCAATTATACCTGAAATACCTGCTGCTCATACAAATGCTCCAGCAATAATGATAGGGGAAAAGGGAGCAGATATGATTAAAGAAGACTGGAGTGTACACACATAAATTTTAATTATTTTTATCTTATGTTTAGTTATTTAAAATTGTTTATGTAAAAAATTATAAGGAGACTATTTGATATAGGAAAATGGTAAATCTCTTCTTTATTCAATTCCAACCCAATCTAAGTGTAATGATCTGTTCAATTACATTTTTCTTTTGGCCATTTAACTTACTTTTAGCAAATGATTGTATAAACTATGATAATATTTTATACATTGTAAATTAAATACTAATAAAAGTTAGCTGATGAAAGTTGATGAGTATTAAAGAATGTGTCAAAAAATTAGACTTATAATATCTATTATTAATCATAATAATTATTGTGTTAGTAGTTTACATTGATATAAAATATAAGAATTAAAATGTTTTAAAATATTTAATTAAATTAATGTACAAATAAATACAATGAGAAGGAATTAAAAAATAAATAATTAAATTGATAAACTATGGGTGCGGTAAAATTTGAGGTTGAATGCCTAATCTGTTAATAACACATTTAGGCATACAAAATGTTGGGTCAATTGGTAACATTTTATCATATGACATAAGAGACAATGCAGCAAGACCAAATAGTGTATGGAATGGATCAGGTTCATCTCCCGGTCTATCACTAAATCCACCACTTTCAGTATCCTAGTAAAAAGCAATTTAATTTTACAATTAATTATGTAAAATTGAAAAGCTAAAAAAATTACTTGAGAAGCAAGAATGAAGTTTTTTAATTCTTCTTTATCAATCCAATGATCTCTTCCAAGAATATTCAATGATGAAAAAACCCACCATGAATAACAAACATCTGGTAATTTTTCAGGTCGACCATTAAGCCCACCAGATGGCAACTGTCTTTCAGCTAACCACCATCCTAATGTATCAGCGTCAATCAAATCTAATCTACCTAAAAAATATTTTTTTATAATATATATTATAAAAAAATAATTGAAAATTAACCTGCAATAGATAACGCTCCTACACAGCAGTATATAAGTCCACCATGACTTTCAGATCCAGGTCTAGAACCAAATCCTCCATCAAAATTTTGACAGCTATTAATAAAATTAACAGCTTTTTCTAAATTAATTTCATTTAATTTACCCTTTAAAAAAAATTACTTTTAGATATTGATTGTAATTAACAGAGTACATATTTTTAGATTTAGTATGTTGAATTATAAAACAAATATTCATTGAAAAAATGAAGAAATATTCTACATATAATGTTAAAAAAAAAAAAATGTACAGAAATTTCATTATAACATTTTAAAATACATGATTTTAATAACTTAAAATAATAAATGTTTCATTATTGTGAAATACTGTATATTGTGAAATATAGTAGTGAAATGAATATTTTTTCAAATAATTTTATAAAAACCTGAAGTAAATATTAGGGTTTGTAATTTTAGTCATATATATATAAGCATTTAATATTCATAATCTTTGAAATATTGTGTTGGTTATTAAATCATTTTATTAAACTATGACTTCATGGTACCACTGAGTATTTTCAAACTTTGAGGAATCTATTTATACTAACTTACCAAAAGTGATAAGCAAGCTAATGCACAAAATGAATACCGTGTATCAATTTCTCCCCATTTGTCTCCAGCAAAACTACCATCATCTTGTTGCAGCTGTTTTACATATGATATAATATTATCTATAGGCAAATCTTGTTCACGGTTTAGTATGCAAGCAATCTGTTTAAAATAATAACTAATTTTATTGATTCAAATTTTAGATAGAATTGTTTATTATTACCTCTACCTATTTATTTAATTTTTTTGATATCAGTTACAAATGACAACAAATAATAAATAATTTTCTGTTGTCAACAATATTTAGATTAAAACTACAGGGAATTTCGATACAGATTTCAAATCTAGCTTACTTTTTTTTCCAGCAAATAATTTGTTATTTAATAACCATAATTGTTTGATTATGGTAGGAAATGAGAAAATTTAAAAATAACTTAAATGAACAACAAATTTCAAGGTTTTTAAAAATTAGTTTATTTGTTAATGTATTAACTTAGGTGTTCAGGCAATAAGTATTCCAGGCAAAATAAATGAACATTAAAAAAAATATATACATAATATTATAATTAATTTATATTTTCTTTTGAAAATAAAGTTTTTAAATACCAATTGCCTGCCTTAAAAATAATTTATAACCCTTTTTAAGCTTTTCTCGCGGCTCTATTAACTTATTAACTATATACAAAAAAGATAATAATTAATTTGAGTAGCTTTAATTCAATTCAATAACAATTATTTTAACTGTAATTAATTAAAAAAATTCTCTAAGAATACTTTAAAATACATTTTTTTATAAAGTTGATATATGCCCTTATTATACAAAATTTAAATTAAATTATATTTCTATATATTTGAATGGGACAACTTTTGGTCATGGAAAATATTTTAAGTTTTTTTTTTTTTATTAAACACTACTTAACTCATTTAATAAATAATAATTTGTTTTTACAACCATTAGTTTGGTTAATACCAATTGAATTGGAATATACTGGAAAATGCATAAGTGTAATAGCCTTCTGCACTGGGAATATAGTGTTTATTTGCCACTGTAAAAGTGCATATATGGTAATCCATCCGTTCCCTTATGGCGGAAGTCGTGGCTTAACACTAAGGTTTATCAACAACTATTGTTACCACTGAGCAACACCACAGCCCAAAAATATAACATTAAGTTTTTATGTCATTTTATTATACAACTTAATATCTTTAATTATAAATGCATAAAATAGTTTTGAAAGTTTTATTTTATTTTTTACAAATATCTCTTTTTTAAGTTAATAACCTGAACTGCGCTGAGAGTATAAAGTAAATGTGGATCATGTCCTGGAGCAGGAGAATAACCACCACAATTATGTTCACAGATTTTAATATACTCAAAAATTTCTTCTTGTTGTGGTATTTTACCATCATTGATTATGTATAATGCTGTTAGTCCCCAATACATACCAGACATCCGGAGAAATTCCATCATATTGCTTTCCTATAAAATTAAAATATATATTTAATGTATAATCATCTGTAAAATTTTCTTAGTTATTAAAAAAGGAAAGATTACTTACATATTGATGTTTCTCTTTACCAAAAGACTGTAAAAAATCAATATGTTTTTTTAATAACCATTGCTTTGGTGAATCATCTAATTTAACATCCTTTTGTAACTAAAAACATATTGATAAAAATTTTAAATAGGTAAAGTTAATAATTTAGTAGATGAACCATTTCATATTATAAGATTAAATTTCAATTGTTAGTAATTTTCTATAACATTTAAAAATAATCCTAAAGAAAAATGAATTATAAAATGTAGGTAAAATATTTTCAAGTAAAATATAATAGACAAACTTAATTATTAAATTATTACCATTTTAATGTTTTTGTAAATTAAAAAATTATTAAGTAATATCAAAATTTTATTTTTTTTTTATAAAAACTACAAAATTTTCAATGAAACAAAGTTAAATTAGAGAAACAAAATAGCTCTAGGAATATGTAAATCTCACTGTAATATAATTAATAAACTAAATAAACATTCATAAATTAAATTTTATTTACAATTTAAGGTTTTAAAAGAGTTTAATTTGATTTATTAAATGAGAATTCAATGTTATCATGTGGTATATTGTAATGATGGATTGATAATAAAACATTACCAAGTATGATAATAACTCTATATATGCCTGCGGAAGGCACTATCACAAATAATATGGAAATAGTATACTAGCAAAATGGAAAATCATTATACTCCAACAATTAACAGTTTATTAAGTTTAATTTATTACATATAAAAATATATAATAATTAATGATTTTTACATAGCAAATTCCAGGATTTTTGATTTTTTTGTTATTTTGTAATGATTAAACTTAAATCGTGATGGTATAACTATATATTATAAGAAAAAATTAAGCTAAAAACGCATTATATATGTTGTTTATTTTTTATTGGTTTTTTCTTTTTTTGTTATTTCTTTTGGTTATTAATTTCTTTTGTGTAAATTACAATGTAACAAAACTCAATAAAATTTGTAGAAAATAATACATACATTTCTTTTAAGAGGAAAAATTATTTACAATCCATTATTATATATAGCATATAATCTACATTCTTTTCTTGTGGTGATTTGTTATAACTTCGTATGACATTCTGTATAGACTCGCGAGGGAAGTAATTCCCATGAATTAGACTTAAAATAATAGAATTAGAAAATATTGTATGTCTAGTTTTTTAAGACCAGAATTAAAGGGTCTTGACGGCGGGAGGTTTTACGGGGCCCGGTACAGATTATTTCACGGTGCCCTAGACATTTTTTGGGACGCTAAAGAACTTATAAAACATTTTTTTCTATTTCACATAACTTATGTAAAAACATTTTTCTTAGGCATAAAATGAAACAAAATATTAAACATAAACTCTTTAAATATGTATTTATTTATTTCTGTATAAATAAAATGTTCATATTAAAATAAAAAATATATAAATGAAATGTTTACACTAAATAAAAGTTGAAAAATTAAAAAAAAATGAATTTTATATCATCAAAAAAATTTTTTTTTGGTCTTGGTTGCAGCAAAAATGTCAATTAGCTCATTAAAATCTAATGAATCACTAATTTCTTGTTTAATTGACTGAGTAGCTAGGCTTGTAAGCTTACACTGTGATAAAGTACTCCTTAAGTAGTTTTTTATTATTTTTAATTTGGAAAAACTCCTTTCCGCACTAGCAGAGGTTACCGGAATTGAGCGAATTATTCTGAGTGCAATTGAAATATTTGGATAAGAACCGCAACATTTTTTTAATACTGAAAGAGCTTGAAAAGCTGTCGTTTCTTCAGAAATCATAGTACAAAAAATAAGCAATTCTTCATACAATTCATGACAATTTGTATCTTTTAATTCACCTTCAGTTAAAACGTTTTGGAGATCATGGCAACATTTTTCTAACTCCTCTTTTTCCATGAATTTTATTTTGTTAACCGATACAAAAAACCAAAGTTATTATTAAACGATTTAAGCTGTAAAAATCTTAAACTTATGGAAACGATAGCTTGATCAACAATAGTTAAAAAATAATCTTGATAAAAAGTAGTTTCTTTATTTTTAGATGGCTCATCTTGAGTTTTATATGAAAAAAATTTTTTTTTGGTTCGTATACGGTTTTTTCTGCCAAATCTTTAGCAGTTGTTCTTGCAGATTCAAAACCAGTATTCCTATAATCATTAAAAAATGAGAGTAATCCATTTAACATACTAGCTGAAATATCTAAATCCATGTTAGTGCTCTTATTTTTGCTTATTGTGTTAACTTTTACTAGGGTATCATACTAAATAATTATGCTAAGAATAAATTCGTAATTACTAATTTCATCTTCTAAGGATTTACATCCACTTCTTAATAAAGAGTCTGGTGATGTATTTGATACTTCTTCCAATGCATTTAAAATTTCTGGCATTTGATATCGAATCGCCTTAACATTTACAAGGCGGCTCTCCCAACGAGTTTCAGACCATTTCTTCACAGTCATAATTTAACAAAGCTTATTTAAAATGGCCTATCTAGAAGTAGCGGAAAAATATGTGTATACTCTTTCAACGATCCCAAAAAATGTCATAGCTTTAAATGTACTTTTGGCGATATCACGATGTAATAAACTCAAATTGTGAGAAGAACAAGGCATAAAAAATATAGTTTAAAAAAACACGCTTTTAAAGCACATCGAACTAAAAAGTTAAAAATAATTTTTAAAATAAGCTTAAAACAATAATGAACGAAAAATACTAGTATTATTGT